CTTTAGTTCAAGTTTTATCTCAATGGTGAAGGTGTTGTACTGTGACGTTGAGAGTATTTTGAAAGTTAATGGTGACTTATGTGCTCCTTTTAAGGTTTTTAGAGGTGTAAGGCAAGGCTGTGCTTTGTCCGGAATGTTGTATGTTTTAGCAATTGAGCCTTTTTTAATTAAATTAAGAGCAGATTTGCACGGGTTATGTATTCCATCATGTCCAAATGTGTTTAAATTGTCAGCATATGCAGATGATGTTGTTGTTTTAATTAGTTGTCAAGATGATGTTGAATTGCTGTTAAAACTGCTAAATGATTTCAAGGAGTTTTCCTCTACTAAAGTTAATTGGTCTAAAAGCGAGGCAATTTTAATCGGAAAATGGTTAAATGGAGAACCAAACCTCCCCGATGGTTTACTTTGGACCAGAGAGGGTTTTAAGTATCTGGGAGTGTTTTTAGGAAATGAAGCAGTTGTACAAAAAAACTTTGAAGGTGTTGTTGAAAAAATAAAAGGCCGTCTTAGTAAATGGAATTTTTTACTTCCAAATATGTCGTACAGAGGCCGCATATTGATAATTAATAATTTGTTGGCATCATCTTTGTGGCATCGGCTAATGTGTGTGGATCCTCCTTTTAATCTTTTGTCAAAAGTTCAGTCAATATTGATAGATTTCTTTTGGGATAAGCTACACTGGGTTCCGAAAGCTGTGTTGTATTTGCCGAAGGAAGAAGGAGGTCATGGACTTGTGCATTTACAGAGCCGAACAGCAGCTTTTCGGCTTCAGTTTGTGCAGAGACTTTTGAATGGACCATTGGACGCAAACTGGAGATCTATAACCTTTTTGCTAATGCAGTCTTTTGGAAATGTGGGCATTGAGAAAACTTTGTTTTGGCTGAATCCTAAAAGGATGGATTTATCCAAACTTCCAATCTTCTACCGTAATATCTTCAAGATATGGAATTTGTTTACTGTGCACAGACCTTTAGACACAACGTCTTTACACTGGCTGCTACAAGAACCTTTAATCTGTGGTTCACGTATGGACATATCCTTTAGGGGATCTTTTCCTGCACTCAACGAAATCCTCTCATCGGCTAAAATAACAACTCTTGGGTGTTTATTAAAGTCAGCTGGAAAAGACTTTAAAAATGCTGACGCAGTTGCTGGACATTTGGGTCTACATTCTAAACGGACAGTTACCAAACTTCTTGAACAATGGAGGGCATCTCTCACAACTGAAGAGATCAGGTTGTTGGAGGACTATTATGAAGGGTTAACTGTTCCAAATTGTAACGATGTTTTCCCGTTTTTGTCATTATCTCCCAACTTAGAAAACTGTGAAGGTGTGTTTTTACATTGTAAAGATGTGACAATAATTGGGCAAGAGTCAGCTTCTGGGAAGGTTTTATATAAAACATGTGTTAAAGTTTTTAATAAAATGGGTCTGAACAATAGAGTGGACACTCCATGGCGTGAGGTTTTAAAATTAAATGAGGATGAGCACCCTCAATGGCGATCACTGTACAAGTCACCATTAACTAAAAGACATGGAGATTTACAGTGGAGAATTTTGCATGGTGCCGTTGCAGTTAATGCTTTTATTTCAATTTTAAATCCTGATGTTGGTCATGACTGCCCTTTCTGCTTGCAGAGAGAAACTGTTTTTCACACGTTTATGCAATGCTCCAGACTTGAGCCTTTGTTTACTGTTTTACAGAATTTGTTTGTATCCTTTGGAGAAACCTTTTCCACTAAAACTTTCATTTGTGGGTTCAAATATGTTCAGAGGAAACGCTTTAAATGTCAGCTTCTCAATTTTTTATTAGGACAAGCTAAGATGGCAGTATATTGTACGAGAAAGCAAAAAATTGAAGGAAATGTGAATCACAACTTGTTGGCAGTTTTTGGTAATTCTGTCAAATCAAGAATTCTAGTTGATTTTAGGTTTTTTAAAGCTATGGATGATCTTCCTTCTTTTGACTTGATGTGGTGTTATGCCGGTGCTCTGTGTGAGATTTATGAAAATGAGTTGGTCTTTGCTCCCATTTTGGATTAATTTATTTCTTTTTTCTCACTTTTTTGTGAGTTGATTGTTTGAATAATGTATGAATGTTTTTGTAATAAAGTGTTGTGAAAATCTTTCTTTCTTTCTTTCTTTCTTTCTTTCTTTCTTTCTTTCCTTCTTTCTCTCTTTTTTATTTTTCTTTCTTCCTTCTTTCCTTCTTTCTTTCTTTCTTTCTCTCTTTTTTATTTTTCTTTCTTCCTTTTTTCCTTCTTTCTTTCTTTCTTTCTTTCTTTCTCTTCCTTTTTTTACTTTCTTTCTTTCTTTCTTTCTTTTTCTTTCTTTCTTTCTTTCTTCCTTTCTTTTTCTTTCTTTCTTTCTTTCTTTTTTTCTTTTTCTCTTTTTTCTTTTTCTTTCTTTCTTTCTTTCTTTCTTTCTTTCTTTCTTTCTTTCTTTCTTTCTTTCTGTTTGCATCCAAAAATTCAAACTTTCTCCTTTAACGTACCGTTATCTTGCAATCCTATTAAATTTACATCATGCAATTCTGCCTTTCTTTATTTTTATTATGCATCAGAAACAAGCCTCCATTCTTAATCATCTTCCTGAACACTTCAGGACACTTTCATTCAGATATCTTTTTCCTCAACTCAATCCTTTCCCTTATCCAAATCCAATCAGTCTCACTCAAAACATGCCAACTCTTCTCCTCTCCAGGCTGTAAAAGAAAGCTAGTGGTGGTGTTATCTTGAGTAACAATCTAATTATTCCTCAAATCACTATTCTGTGGGGATCTCCAGGCTTGGTGTTTTATCAGAAAGTAAAGGGATCCTTAATTAAACGCCCTGCTGTACATACAGTATGGTCATGTCTACCTGTGAAGAGCTGGGCCTGATGGAATCTGTCCTGAATGAGCTTCAGAAATCATCCTAATCCTCTTACAGGATTCCTCAGAGGAACATATCGATGTCTGACATTTCTGACTGCCGTGGGTTTAGTGTTTTTCTTGGCACTGCTCCTCATCTGTGCTTTTGGCTGAATGTTCAAGCCTGTTAAAGTCGCTCGACTATCAGTATCTAGCTTTTAAGGATGCCAGCTAGGACTATTGAGACATCTATATACTATTTATAACCCTATAAGAGTGTATGTGGTGCATAGAGTTGTATGCAAATGCATAGAGACTCCTAAATACAGATTTGGCTTATTGCCTTTTGTTTTATGTGTATGTATTTATTGTGTATGTGTAAATGTATTAGGCTTGGGCGGAATCCAAATTTTGATACCATCAAACCTCCTCCCTTTTTTACCTCAGCCTTTGGTATTACCGTGCATAATAAAAACAATTAAGACGTAAGGCTCAGACAGCGTCACCAAACTGTTGGCTTGTGCCTAAACCATTCAGAAACTGAATACCGTATATGCAACCTTAGGTTTGCAGTCACCTGTCTGTCTTGTTCGTTTTACGCCCCATTCACACGGGGCTTCAGCGTCCAGGCTTGACTGAAGGCGTGTGTGAAGTTGGGGCTGAAGCGATCCTCATAGCAGCCTCAGCCAATGAAATTCAGTCAGCAATAGGCCACTGTCTAGCTGGTGTATTTGCATACAGTGATCTGATTGGTTGACGCTTCCGTCGCCGCTTGAAAAGTTGAGCTAGTCCCAACATCTGCAGCGAGCAATGCCTTTGAAGCGGCGCCGATGGATGCACAATGCAGTTCGGTAACGCCTGACATCGCCCATTCAAAGTGAATGGGAAGCGTTGACGCTGACGCCCCGTGTGAATGGGGCGTTAGAGATCGGCGCAGGAAGCTCTCTCTCATTCACACATACGCTCGCACACAAGCACACACGCACACACACACAAACACACACATATTCACAGACATCCCAAGTCTCCTGGAAGTTCCGGGAGTATCCCGCAAACGCATAGCGACTGCTGGATGCCTGCAAATGATTGATAATCTCCAGAAATCGTGCATCTTCCGTCTGGTCCTTAAATACGTCGCACACCCCTCTGTAGCGCATCCCTCACAGCTCTTCAGGTACGTCGCGCACAACTCACCCCAATCGCTCTTCAGGTATGTCTCGCACGCACACGCCCCTATTCAGATACGCCGCTCACTCTAGTTCGCATTTACCACTTCTCTCTTCTGATTCGGTCGAAACCAGACATACTGCCAAACTGCAGGTCACTTGGTGCGCGACTCGGCACCTCACCTTTCTCTCTCTCTCTTTCTCTCCTCCACACTGTTCCATGATGACAATCACACATACGTATTTGTAGGCATTTAATAAATAATAACTAATATTTAATACTTGTCTCATATTTAAGTGCATTGTTTTTTTTTTGTTTTTTGACGGTATAACGGTTTTGAAACTGACACCGTAGCTATTTTTAGATCCCGCGGTATACCATAATACCGTATTACCGCCCAAGCCTAATATGTATATAAATATATATATTTTTTTTAATTATTATTAATTTTTTTTTTTAGTATGTCCTTGTCTTTAATCTTCAGTTTTTCCTTTTTATTGCCACTATTGTTGTTATTGCTGGCACTATTAGTAATACTATTATTCAACAACCTGTATATTGGGTATTACATGTATATCTGCGCACTTTGCTACATGCGGATTTTCTATGGCGTGTTTTTCTGTGTTCGAAAAATACTAAATAAAAGCAAAAATTGATGGTAAAAAGAAATAAACATATATAAACCAAACATCTCATAAATCCCAGAGAAATGCTCTCACCTCCAGCCTCTGCACGATCTCCCGAATGTCCTCCCCGCAGTTATCGTGCGCAGAAAACATCACGCACTCTCCGCGCTCGTAGAAGATCTTGATGCTCATGATTCCAGACGACCATCCGATCACGTCCCGACAGGAGCAGTTGAAGATCACGTTTTTGGACTCTTCCTCCACCAACACGATGAACTCATTGGAGATTCCCAGCAGACATTCAACATCTGTTGATTGACCGAAATCTCTGGCCACCACGCTCCAGGTCACCGCGCCGTTACTCTGCAGATGAGCGTCTTTCCGTGGTTTAACCCGCTCCTTCTTTTTAGCTCCGAGAGTAATGAAGCTGAACTTCACCGCTGAATCCACAGTAGTCGTGCTTACAAAGTTCTCCGCTAGGTCCTTTAGATACTCCTGGCGCGTTCGGGTGGCCATGGCACGAAACTTCTCAGATTTATGAGCCGCGTTTTCGCCGTTGATCACCTTGGCCAGGAGGAAGTCCCTGAACACGGCTGATTTGGGAAAAGTCACGCCTTTGGGAATTGGAGGGCCGAATGGAGGCACGTCTTTCGATCTGGAAACTGCAACACTGCAGAGAAAATGAGGAGAGATTTGAGGGTGTGCTAGTCCTGTCACAATAACCAATATATAGACTTAGCACACAACACATGGACATGAGCTCAATCAAAATTGCAACACCAAAAAAAAAAACATTCAGTTCTTAATTAAATCAATCATTTGGGGTATTACGGTGTAATAGTTGATCTGCAGTGGGGTATTGAGAGAGCTCTGATGGTTACTGTAGACTTTACTGTCTCCTTTTGGGGCGATTTGTTCTGCAGCATGATACAGGGTGGGCCATTTATATGGATACGCCTTAATAAACTGGGAATGGTTGGAGATATTAACGTCCTGTTTGTGGCACATTAGTATATGTGAGGGGGCAAACTTTTCAATATGGGTGGTGACCATGGTGGCCATTTTGAAGTCGGCCATCTTGGATCCAACTTTTGTTTTTTTCATCAGTAAGTGGGTCATGTGACACATCAAACTTATTGGGAATTTCACAAGAAAATCAATGGTGTGCTTCGTTTTATTCTATCTTCATTCTTTCATGAGTTATTTACAAGTTTCTGAATACTTATAAAATGTGTTCAATGTGCTGCTCATTGTGTTGGATTGTCAATGCAACCCTCTTCTACTCCTCTTCACACACTGATAGCAACACCGCAGGAGAAATGCCAGCACAGGCTTCCAGTATCCGTAGTTTCAGGTGCTGCACATCTTGTATCTTCACACCCTGCATCTTCTTACGAAGATATTTTATTTAATAAAGTTAATATTTCATTGACTTGAATATAAGTAATCATGTATAATATAACTATTAACCCGTCATCTAAAATCTTAGAAATAATAATAACGCCTATTGTTTGGTCATGTCTAGAGCTTGATTAATTTGATTGACATCCTAGGCAATGAGACCTTTAATTCGCCTGACTGAGCGTGTGCTTATTGCATGCAGCGCTGAATTTGGTAGCACAAAAACTCGCTGTGATCCAGGTGAGAACTTTACCAACGACTACATGCACCGCTGAAAGACTTTTTCTTCTGCTGCGCATTGAATAAAGCGAATAAAGATACACTTGACACCATCGATGTCGGCATAACAGTGCTCAGTCACACTGTTGCTTTCGTTTTTTTTAAACATGAAAACACAAGTTTCAGCTAATATTTAAATTTAATTGAACAAAGGGAGCCGCTTGCATAGCGTTACCAAGGCAACAACTGATGTAATGTTTCAAAGAGCTTTGTTGCAGCACGACAGCAAAGAGCTTCGAATGAACGAGAGGCGACACTCAATAGAACGTTCCATTGCAACAGCCCCGGATTCCGCCATTTTGGAGTGAAATCGGTCGGCTGTCCATTGGATCTTATTGCTGTCGCGATGACAAGCAGCTGCTTTGTTTTTTTATTAATCTATTTAAAAAGCGCATTAAAGCTGAGATACAACCTGAAAGACGACAATACAACACTTACTATCACAATCATCAGCACTTTTAATAGTTTATTTCACAGACTTATAATTTGCTGTTGTTCTATTGGAGTTTTCATTTAAAAATGGCTGCCGCGCCATCTAGTGGCTGTTTCCCAAATCGCACTAGAGTGTTGCCTCTTGGTGATTCTATGCTCTTTGAAACATTATCCGTGCTCTCTGGCCTGGTTTGGCACGGAACGGTTCAGCATAACGAACGATTCAGCATGATAGTGGAAAAGCGGCTAATCATTTAGGAATTATGGTATAATAGCTGACCTGCAGAGCTCATAGTGACTGACCTGTAGCAGACGTTCTCAGTGCAGGGGTTGTGCACTTTGACGATGACGAACACGTGCTGGAAATGCGAGCGGATGTTTTTGGGAGTGAAGGGCAAAGCACCAGGCTCCTGAAACACGATGGTGACGATGTCATTTCCTATGTGTCTCTTTCTGAGCAGCTGTGGGAGAGGACAAACAACACAAATCAATAGTTGCGTCCCAAATAGCACACTAAACACTTATGCACTTACACATTCAAGTGTCTAGTATACAGTTGAGTGTCATCTCAAATGGAAGACTAATACTTTTTACTAAACAGAAATTTGCACATTTTGTTAGAGTATATTGGATATTTTTGCCGATACTTGTATGTTTATTTCTGGTTTAGTTATTTTGTTGTACCTGTAATATGTACAGGCAGGGTTCAACGCTAAAGATTTTTTCAACTGGCCCGATTGGACCAGTGTTTCAGATTTTTACTTGCCCTGCCAAAATTTTCAATGGCCCGCAAAAAAAAAAAAAAAAAAAAAAGCTATTAAAATAAATGCTATTTATTAGCCACATATATTAAATAATGTGTCACGAAATAATGTATGTGAATGCAGAATTTAAATGTTTGAAAAATGTTAAACTATTTAGCAGTAAAACATAGCAGTATGGAATATGCGCAGGTATTTTATTCCAAAAAAAAAAAGGTGGCTGACTTAAAAGTGACGACAAACTATGCAAAACATCACTTCAAAATTTTTTTTTCGTGCTGTACTCATTTAAATGTTTCCACAACGTTAGAAACAGACGTTTTCTTTTAGCCTCATAATTTGATGTTACGGTCATGTTGCCGTCTATTTAAATTTAGTGACAAGGCAGCACTGCCCCGATCGGGCCAGCAATGATTCTGTCTACTGTCCCGAGCATCTCTCACGCTGGCCCTGGGCCATCGGGCAGTCCTTATTGTTGAGCCCTGACAGGTCAGAATTATTCGCCCCCTGTTTAATTTTTTACCCAATTTCTGTTTAATGGAAAGCAGATTTTCTTTAACACATTTCTAATCATAATAGTTTTAATAACTCATTTCTAATAACTGATTTATTTTATCTTTGTCATGATGACAGTAAATAATATTTGACTAGATATTCTTCAAGACACTTCTATACAGCTTAAAGTGGCATTCAAAGGCTTAACTACGTTAATTAGATTAACTAGGCAGGTTAGGGTAATTAGACAAGTTATTGTGGTTTGTTCTGTAGACTATTCAGTTATACAAAAGTACTGTAAGCTATATCGGCAAAATATAGTTTAAAGGAGCTAATAATATTGACCTGAAAATGGGTTTCAAAAATGTAAAATCTGCTTTTATTCTAGCCGAAATAAAACAAATAAGACTTTCTCTAGGAGAAAACATATTATCAGACATTCTGTGAAAATTTCCTTTCTCTGTTAAACATTTTTTGAGAAATATTTAAAAATATTAATAATTTAAAAATAATTCTGACTTCAACTGTATATTAGGGCTAGGCAATTTGGCCTAAAATCTAAATCTCAATTAATTGAACATTTGAACTTGATTATGATTAATATATATATATATATATATATATATATATATATATATATATATATATATATATATATATATATATATATATATATATATATATACACACACACGTACTACTATCATAGGTCACTGATAAGTTTTGTACAGTAAACATGCTCATATGACAAGTCAGAGATTTTTGAATGAATGATTCACATTAAAAATGATGAATTACTTAATTTTAACATAATTGAAGGAAACACACACACTACTATCTGTGATTATTTATTAAACGTCAATGTTGAACAACTGAGACTAAAACACACATTGCCTAAAACCAACAGACAGTTTGTGAAAATAAATAGCTTGCACTTTTGGAAACAAAACAAATTATTGTCTGTGCTTTTCATATTATAAGTAGAAAATAAGTAGCTTCTCTTCTAAATAAAATAACTCTTGTATATCCTGTAAATGATATTTTAAACAGGGCATTTCTTGCATCTTCTGTTAACAATTATTTTCTATAATATAATAAATACTATCATTTACAGTACTTTCATGTATTTAATATGTGTAATTATAAATAATAATTATTATAAATTTTTATTATTATACATAATTAGCATTAATTAATAATATAGCAAATTAAAAATTAATACAATTAATTTCAAATACAGTTAATAATAATAATAATAATAATACTTTTAAAATACAATTTATAAATAAATACATATAAACAAAAAAATGCTATCAAATATAATTTAGATGAAAGTGTATTTCGACAGCATTTATGAATAAAAATAATTATATTAAATAAAATGCTAAACATACTTTCATTAAAATAAACGTATGACATTTTATTTGTTTAAGAAATTTTAACTATATATAAATTATTATTATTTATATTATACATAATTTGTAATAATATAGCTAATTAAACATAATAATAAAATTAATCAATTTACAGTTAATAATAATAATAATATACTATCATTATACTTTAATAATACAACTACTACTACTACTAATAATAATAAAATGAACACAAATTTAATTTAAGTTAATATTATTAAGCTTGACATATAAACTTCCATCCATAAGCACAATATGCGTGTCAAAAATATATACAGTTTTAATATGTGAATATGTGTGTGAGTCAGTCTTCATATCTCCAGTTTCTTTGAAAAGATCGTCTGCTGTTCTCCATTGACACATTAACTGTGGGCTGCAAACAGGATTGTGGGTAAGACGGGCGGATGAGGACCTGTGCTGGAGTCTTCAAGCTTACGGACGGGGATTTATTCGCTAATCCTGCCCAATCAAATAGAATTGAAGATGGAGAAGAATAAGAGGGAAAATCCTCTAATCCTGCCAATCGACTGTCAGAGAGGTGAGACACGGCGAAGACAAACACACACAATCATTTTACTCTGCTTTACTAGAGACAAACACATCTCAGAGAGCAGAAAACTATTGGCTTATATAACGTATGCAATATATTTAATACCATTACATTTACAGTTTTAGATGCAATCCAGTGTTTTAACAAAACTGAAGTCAGCTGCAGTCTTAAAGAGGGTAGAATCAAAACATGGCTGAAATTAACCGGCAGCATATTATTTGATTTTATTCCCTAAAAATTATATGATTTAAAATAAAAATAAATAAATAAATAAATAAATAAAAATAAATAAAATAAAATAAAATAAACCAAAACAAAATAAAATAAAAAAAAATTAAATGAAACAAAATAAAACACAAAATAAAATAAAATAAAATAAAACAAAACAAAAATAAATAAATAAAACAAAACAAAAAATAAAAAAAATAAAACAAAATAAAATAAAATGGTGCAGTAGGTAGTGCTGTCGCCTCACAGCAAGAAGGTCGCTAGGTCGCTGATTCGAGCCTCGGCTGGGTCACATGTGGTACAGGTGAACTGGGTAGGCTAAATTGTACGTAGTGTATGAACATGTGTGTGAATGAGTGTGTGTGGATGTTTCTCAGAGATAAGTTGCGGCTGGAAGAACATCCGCTGCGTAAAAAAAATGGGCCACATGAGTTGGCGGTTCATTCCGCTGTGGCAACCCCGAAATAATAAAGGGACCAAGCCGAAAAGAAAATGAATGAATGAATGAATGAATAAATAAATATTTGTATAATCACCCTGCAGACAGACAGACAGACAAAGACAGACAGACAGACAGACAGACAGACAGACAGATAGACAGACAGATAGACAGATAGAACAATATATAGAACGATAGATTGAACGATAGCTTGAACAATAGATTGAGCGATAGAACAATAGATAGAACAATAGATAGAATGACATATAGAACAATAGATAAATAGAATGATAAAGAACGACAGAAAAGTAGAATGATATATAAATAGAATGGTAGACTGAATGATAGACAGACTGATAGATTGAACAATAGACAGAATGATAGAACAATAGATAAAATGAAAGATAGAAATATTGATAGAACATTAGAACAATAGATTTAATGATAGACAGAATTTTAGAACGATAGAACAATAGAGAGAATGAAAGATAGAATAATAGATAGAACATTTGAATGATAAAATGAACGATACACAGAAAGATAGATAGAGAGAACGATAGATAGAATAATAGAATAATAGACAGAATAATAGAATAATAGAACGATAGATAGAACAATAGAATAATAGAACGATAGAACAATAGAAAGACTGACCTGCTGTCTGTTGTTTGGAGTGTAGGGCAGGAGTGTGGAGACGTGGAACATCAGCTCATAGTCTTTATATGTGGTGTAGAGAGAATGAGTGCCGGTCGAGTCGCCTGAAAACAACACACACAAGCAACCACAATATTATTTATTCATTATTTAATTATTTAGTAAATAATTATTCAGTACTATTTCATTTACTTTGTGTAGATAATAATAATAATAATAATAATAATAATAATAATAATCCCCATCATGTTCATCATTTATAATAATCATAATATTACTAACAACATTAACAACAATAATATGTATTATTATTTATTTATTATCTAATTATTTAATAAATAATTAGAGATTATTTTTATTAATTTGTGTAGATATTATTATTATTATTATTATTATTATTATTATTATTATTATTAATAATAGTATTATAGTATAATTAAAAGTATATTATTTAAATTGATGATTATTAGTTGTTGTTGTAGTACTAATTATAATGCGAATACTACTACTACTACTACTACTACTACTACTACAACTAATAATAATAATAATAATAATTAACTATTGTTATTATTATTAACATTATTACTATTATTAGTAGTACTAAACAACAACTAATAATCATCAATTTTAATAATATTATACCTATAATTGTATTATATTAATAATAATAATTATAATTATAATAATAATAATTATAATAATAATAATAATAATCCCATCATGTTTATTATAATAATAATGATAATATTACTAGCAACATGTATTATTATTTATTTATTATGTAATTATTTAATAAATAATTATTTAGAGATTATTTTTATTAATTAGTGTAGATATTATTATTATTATTATTATTATTAGTAGTAGTAGTAGTAGTAGTATTACTATTATTGTTATTACTATTAATATTCTTAGTAATAATAATAATAATAATAATAATTGTTATTATATGTTACTGTTATGATTATTAACATTATTGTTATTATTATCATTATTATTATTTGAGTTTTTATTAGTACTAAAACAGCAACTAATAATCATCAATTTAATTAATATAATATAAATGAACAAGTAAACAATAAAATTATACAATTATACAATTAGACAATTATATTTTTATGAATGTATGTACGGGTAATGTACTGTAATGTATCCCTGTGTTGTGAGCGTTAGTATTAGCATTAGCACATACTCTTGTTGTCCAGCTGAGCTCTGTATTTGGTGAAGCCCTTCAGCCGAACTCTCTGACCGAGCAGATCCAGAAACTCGTCCAGCGGTGCTCCTGCGTTCTCATTATTGTACATCTCCTCCTCTGTGCTTTGAGCCGCTTTACAGTAAAGAACGCCAACCTTATGCTGGAAACTCAGCTGAAACACAACAACACACACATTATTATCAGTGATATCATGCTCAACTCAATACAGTTACTCATTAAAGGACAGGGCTCCCATTCAAAGCTCACAAAAGAATTAAATATACAGTACTGCGCAAAAGTTTTAGGCCAACATTAAAGCTGTTGTTTTACTGAGAGTATGCTGGATGTACACTCACCGGCCACTTTATTAGGTACACCTGTCCAACTGCTGTTAGCGCAAATATCTAATCAGCCAATCACATGGCAGCCACTCAATGCATTTAGGCATGTAGACATGGTCAAGACGATCTGCTGCAGTTCAAGCCGAGCATCACAATGGGGTAGAAAGGTGATATTAGTGACTTTAAACGTGGCATGGTTGTTGGTGACAGACGGACTTGTCTGAGTATTTTCCGAAACTGCTGATCTACTTTCACGCACAACCATCTCTAGGGTTTACAGAGAATGGTCCGACAAAGAGGAAATATCCAGTGAGCGGCAGTTCTGTGGGCGCAAATGCCTTGTTGATGCCAGAGGTCAAAGGAGAATGGCCAGACTGGTTCCAGCTAATAGAAAGGCAACAGTAACTCAAATAAGCACTCGATACAACCGAGGTCTGCAGAAGAGCATCTCTGAACACACAACACGTCCAACCTTGAGGCGGATGGGCTACAGCAGCAGAAGACCACACCGGGTGCCGCTCCTGTCAGCTAAGAACAGGAAACTGAGGCTACAATTCACACAGACTCACCAAAACTGGACAATAGAAGATTGGAGAAACGTTGCCTGCTCTGATGATTCTCCATTTCTGCTGCCACATTCAGATGGTCGGGTCAGAATTTGGCCTCAACACCATGAAAGCATGGATCCATCATGCCTTGTATTAGCAGTTCAGGCTGGTGGTGGTGGTGTAATGGTGTGGGGGAGATTTTCTTGGCACACTTTGGGTTCATTAGTACCAATTGAGCATCATGTTAACGCCACAGCCTACCTGAGTATTGTTGCTGACCATGTCCATCCCTTTATGACCACAGTGTACTCATCTTCTGATGGCTACTTCCAGCAGGATAACGCACCATGTCATAAAGCGTGAATCATCTCAGACTGGTTTCTTGAACATGACAATGAGTTCACTGTACTCAAATGGCCTCCACAGTCACCAGATCTCAATCCAATAGAGCACCTTTGGGATGTGGTGGAACGAGAGATTCAAATCATGGATGTGCAGCCGACAAATCTGCAGCAACTGTGTGATGCTATCATGTAAATATGGAACAAAATCTCTGAGGAATATTTCCAGTACTTTGTTAATTCTATGCCATGAAGGATTAAGGCAGTTCTGAAGGCAAAAGAGGGTAGTAAGGTGTACCTTATAAAGTGGCCGGTGGGTGTACTGTCAGGTCAGTCTTACTGAGTTGTTTGTCATTTCTTTTACTGAGATTCACTCAGGGGGAATAAATGATCTTTTAGTTGATGTATAGCATGTAAATTAGGTTAGAGTTCAAATTATTTTGGAAACATATTTGTGTCTTAAACAACTGCAAATTTTAGTTGTTTAAGACACAAAATTCGATGTAGGAGAGGGGTTGTTTGTCCTGGTTTGAGCTGCATTTCTATTAGTGTTGTTACCAATATTGTCTGAATTGATGAATTGTGAACGTTGAAAAGTTCAGATAGGTTTTAATCCATTATGCCAGTCCTTCTGGAAAGGACTTCAGTGGTAATACTTGTCATTTTAAGCACGATAATGATCCGCTAACTGCAACGAAATCCTATTTAGAGAAAGAAAACAGCTGATGAAACAAGGACAGTCATGAAATGGCCCCCATAGTGTCCAGACCTGAATATTATAGAGGCTGTATGAGATCACCTGGGGCCTCATGTATCAACGCTGCGTACGCACAAAAACTTTGCGTACGCCAAGTTTCACGCTCAGAATCGCTCACGTTTGGATTTACTAACAATGAACTGAACGTGGGAATGTGCGCAGCTTCACGGCAGCTTTCTGGCAGGCGTACGCGCATGTTTTGTGCGTGTCTGTTTTATTTCCATTGGCGACTCCTAGAGGCAGTTGTGTTAAATTCCTCTCTACAAAGTGTCTGAGCCTTGCAATGGCAGCTGTATGAGACGGGTTCAGCAGGTATATAAGGTTTCCATACCATACAGTTGACCAGCTAAACATTAAAGCACAATTTGCAGCGGTCGCCTGTTTTCCCAATGTAATCTGAGCTATCTACCGCACGCACATTGCTATAAAGACACTATCTGAAGATGAATTTGCATGCGTGAATCAGAAACATTTCCATTCAATAAATGTGCAAATAAAATATGATGCTTATTGATATGAACTTATTGATGATGCCTACTTGTCTTTCTCGTGATAAATAGTGGGCAAAATCTGATATGTAGCGGGGAAAAAAGAAGAAAGAGTTCATCAGACGCTGGATTCGAGCCGAGTTCATGCTCGAACGTATCAATTCATGATCACATACGTCTTACGAGTAGCGCCACTG